AATTCCTTCTCCCTTAGAAAACTATCAATTTTCTTATTCCAAGCCCTTGGAGCTTGTTTCAGTCCATACATGGCTTTATGTAGCATGTACACCTTTCTTTCTTCGTCATGTTTCACAAACCCAACTGGTTGTTTAACATAGACTTCTTCATCTAAGGGTCCATTTAGGAATGCACACTTCACGTCCATCTGACATATGTGCCAACTGTTGATTTCTGTTAGACCAACAACCAGCCTGATTGTTTTGATCCTAGCAACAGGTGCAAAGACTTCGTCGAAGTCTATTCCTTCTTTCTGTAGAAATCCTTTCGCCACAAGTCTTGCTTTGTGTCGAGTTACTTCACCTTTCGAATTCGTCTTCACTTTGTATACCCACTTGACATCAATTGCCTTCTTTCCTTGAGGCAATTCGACAAGTGACCAAGTGTTGTTGTCTTCGATAGACTTTACTTCTTAGTTCATTGCTTTCACTCACTTCGAATCCTTTAATGCTTCAGCTGCATTAACAGGTTCGACATCTGCATAGAAAGCATAATGTACCAGCTCACCTTCATCATCTATTACATCATCTGATGTAATCACACAATCTTGCAATCTTGCAGGCATGCGTCTTGTTCTTTGAGGCCTGCTTGTACTTGGTATATCTGCTGGTTCCTCTTGTCGAACTTCTCTTTCGACTTGAGTTTTTGTCTCTTCGAATAAGATTCCCACTGAATCTTTCTTGACATTTGCAGACCAATCCCATTCTTTAAACTCATCTATGACCACGTCCCTGCTGATCACAATCTTCTTGTTCTCTGGATTGAACAACTTGTAGCCTCCTGTCAAATGATATCCAACTAGGATCATTTAACTTGACTTGTCATCAAGTTTTCTTCTCAACTGATCTGGCACATGTCTATGTGCAATAGATCCAAATACCTTCAGATGACTTAAGCTAGGCTTCACACCAGACCAACATTCTTCTGGAGTAATTCTTTCTAGCTTCTTTGTAGGACATCTGTTCAAAATATAAGTTGCAGTCGAAACAGCTTCACCCCAGAACTCTTTAGGTAAATTCTTGCCCTTCAACATACTTCTCACCATATTCATGATGGTTCGATTTTTCCTTTCTGCAATTCCATTTTTCTGTGGAGTATAGGGTGGCACCACCTCATGCACAATCCCTTCCTTTTCACATAATCTGTCGAAGTCTTTCGACACATATTCTCCACCACCATCAGTTCTCAAAACTTTGAGCTTTCGACCACTTTGTCTTTCGACCATGGACTTAAACTTGGTAAATACTTCGATCACTTCACTTTTCTTGTTGATCAGGTAAGTCCATAGCTTTCGACTGAAATCATCTATGAATGTAACAAAGTATTTGTTACCTCCCATTGAATCCACCTGGATTGGTCCACATACATCAGGGTATATGACTTCGAGACTAGCCTTCGATCTGCTTCCTGTATCCTTGCTGAAGCTATTCTTATGTTGCTTCGCCTGCACACATTCTTCACACACTTCGTTTGGAATGTCAATTTCAGGCAATCCTGAAATTATATTTCTTCTCTTCAAATCTCTGATGTCTCTGAAGTTGAGATGACCTAGTCTATAATGCCATATCCATTCATCTCTGCTAGCTGCAGTCGAAAGGCACTTGTGCTCCATCACATTTAGTTCAATCTTAAAGGTTCGATTCTGAGACATATGAGCCTTCAAGATTACTCTCTCATTTGCATCAACGACTTTCATCAACTTATCTTCGATTGACACTTTATAATTCTTTTCGACCAACTGCCCTATACTGAGAAAATTGCTCTTCATGCCTGGTATGTACAACACATTGGAGATTACTGACCTTTTGCCATCTTTCCTCATAATCATAACATCACCAATACCTTCAGCTGCCAGGGTATTGTCATTTGTAAATTTTACCATATTTTTCTTTGAGGGCTTTATATTGACAAACCAGTCTTTCCTTCCAGACATATGTGATGAACATCCTGAATCCAAGTACCATTGGTACTTGAATCTATCTTCATCTCTTGTTATGACCATCAACATCATCTCTTCTTCTTCATGTTTTGCAAGCTTTGCATCACTTTCTTGATTCTTTCGTTTTTCTGGACAATCACTCGAATAGTGTCCATATTTCTGACAATTGTAACATTGAATGTGACTCTTATCAGGTTTTCGACCACCACCTCTTCCTCTATTTGCAACACCACCTCTTTGGTTGCCTTGGTATGGTCTTCTTTGATTCGACACGTCTCCTTCGATTTGGTTTCCTCTACCATTCGATTTGTTGTAGCCACCTCTACCTCTGTCGAAACACTTTCCTTTGCCTTTGCTCTCTTTTGCTGAATGTGCCTGCAAGGCCACATCACTCTTCGATTTTCCTGCAGCTCTTTCGTTCATTCTTTGTTCATGAGATTCAAGTGTCCCTTGAAGCTCTTCCTTTGTCAATTTCGACAAGTCTTTCCCCTCTTCTATTGCCACCACTATGTGGTCGAACTTAGGAGCTAAAGATCTCAAGATCTTCGACACAACAGCTCTTGTTGTTAACGCTTCTCCACATATCTTGATTTGATTTACTAGTTTTGTAACTCTAGTGAAGAAATCAGATATGTTTTCACTGTCTTCCATTTGAAGCAGTTCATAGGTCCTTTTGTGAGTTTGTAACCTCACTTCTTTCACCTTCTCAGCGCCTCCAAAAGACTTCTCAAGGATCTCCCAAGCTTCTTTTGCAGATTCTGAATCACTAACCTTTTCGAAATTGTCTGGGCTGACACATTGATGAATTATAAATAATGCTTTATAACTCAGCTTCTCAGATTCTGTGTATTTCTTCTTTTCTTCTTCTGAAGCGTTTTCGCCAAGCGCTTCGACTCCATCTTTTACAAGGTCCCAAAGACCTTGACAACTGAATAAGACTTTCATCTATTTGCACCAATTCTCATAGTTGTCAACTTTCAGAATCGGTAGCATTGCTGGATAGTTTGCATTCCCATAATTTGTCATCGTGAATTCTTCAATCGTTCTTGATTGACACTTTCCTTGAATCGAAACAAAAGCTCTGATACCAGATGTTGGAAATCCACCAAATTCTATGATGAATTTCTACCACAATGACAATTTAATTATGAGACAAACAAAGAAAAGAAGACAAGACAAATATTTCTGCAGAGTTTCTCTCTGCCCACAAACTGTGGAAAACTTTCTTAATCACTTGCAACTGCAAATTCTGTAATTACAATGAATTGACTTACTTACTTGCTTTGAAAAATAGGGGTTACTCCCTCTATTTATAACTGAGCTTACACCCAAAGCCCAAAGCCCAAAATATCTTTTTTGTTACTAAATCAAATCAAATCTATTTTGGACTTAAATCAAATCTATTTAAATCTAAAATAAATCAAATCTTCTTTGACACTATGAATTACAATTTAACAATTTGAAATGAACTTATTTTAAATTCTTTCAAAAACAACTAAAATATTTTTAATTGTTACTTTATTCAATAATAAAAATTCCAACTTTCAAAATTTTAAAGAAGTTTTTGAAATATACTTTTTTTTTTAATAAAAAAGTTAGATTATTTTATTATATATGTGACAAAAGGCTAAATAATTATATCAATGTATATGATAATTTAAACCATAGGAAAGAAAAAATGGTTGGTTGCTAGATAAAAATTGTGACTTATAATGACTTGGAAGAAACCAAAGAAGATAAGATCATTAAATTTAACTCATAATAATTAAGATTAAATTTGGTTAAGAATTATAGCTTGTTGAGACGTGAATCTAAGAATATGAAGATCCGAAAATAGTTGCTAATAGATTTGATGAACTAACTATTAAATTCCACATATAAAAAAGTACTATTGTTTTGAGGTTAGACTGTTAAAGATATGTGGTTATTGTATTTGTTTGTAATTTTTCACATGTCGCTTATTCCGTAACACTTGTTTATGTATAGTAAGTAATTAACTCCTAACACTTACCCACCTCATTCTTGCTCATATCATATACGTGTAGAACTACTTCACTAACAATTCTCCTTCAAATTTTATAGTAGATTAGTTAGAATATATTTTTGTTTTAATATATTAAATTTTTTTTTAATTGTACTATTTCGTATTTTATGTTTTCATTTTTTAATTAATAAAAATTAATTTTTTTTAGAAAAATTGAAAGTAATAGTATTAATTATAATTTTGTTAAAATTATTTTTCATAAAAAATAAAGTGAAATAAAATAATAAAAAGGTAAGATAAAGATACATAAAAGAAAAAATATATATTTTTTAAAAGTAATAAAATCAATTAACTCCCTTTTTATGAATAAATCAACTTTAAAATGCTAATAAAAAATAAACGAGCTTTGTATTATTTAATTAATATTATATGCATTATTTTTAAATGTATATCTTATATTGTATTTATGATAATTATGAATAGTACTTATTCATTGAATTTGTCTCACAATATCTCTTATATATTATTGCAAAAGCTTGTCTCATTTAATATGTTGCTTTACTTTATTATTAAAGTTTATTTTGTATTTCTTTTAATAATATAGAATTTTGTAAAATAATTAAAAAAAAAAATCTTTTTTAAACATAAATGAATTACATTTCTTAATCCATATATATAATACTCTAAAGTGGCGTATATTATAAGATGATAAAAAAATATTCGATGAAATTAATTTAATAAAGTTATTATGATCTTTCTTTATTTATGGTTTTTACTTAATTAACAAATGTGTCACTTACCATACAAACATAAAATATTATTTTATGTAAAGAAATAACTTTTTTTTGTTGTATTTATATACGATGGTGTGGGCATTGGAGAGGGGAGAAGACATAGATTTGGTTAAGCAGAAAAAAGCTTCAAAACCTCATCACTTTCATTGGTTTCAGCTCCATAGTACACTGGAGCTGAAACGAACCACCACCAAAATTCTAAGTTATTCTCTCCTTTGTCCCGTTTGAGTTTCAAAAGTTAGAATGGAACAAGACAAAAACGAAAGTAACATGAACGAAAGTATCAACGAAAACAAAAATGGTGGTGATGGAATCATAGTATCAGATCCGAAGGGAGAAAGGGTTATTGAGTTTCCTTGCAAAAGAAGCATAGCTGAGAGAAGGGGTTTCAATAAAAATGCAACAAGTATCAACACAGGAGGAGGAGTTATACGTTTGGATGCAACAATGAAAACCCCTTTTGTTTCTCTTCCAGCTCGATCACCACATCTCACAATACCACCGGGAATTAGTCCCACCGCATTGCTTGAGTCCCCGGTCATGCTTCCTAATTCTCAGGTATGATTATCATTGTCGCGGTCGCGGTCGCGTTGCACTCGCCTAAAGGTATGTACATGTGCCGCGATATTGATTGTGTTCGCCGTAGTGTGAATTAACCTAGTGTCCATACTGTTTTATTGCCGTCGCAGATCATTAAACCTTGATCACAATCTCATTTTTTATAAACAATTTCTGACTTTTTCATCGAAATTGCACTCGTCCAATAATTTTTAGTCACTTATAAATTAGGTTTTGAAGTTGAAGGTCATCTATCAATTCATTAGTATTGCCATTTTTTCTCTCTCTTTTATTGGGCTTGATTGAAATCTCTTGCTTGATCCATTCTATCTATTTGTTTTTGGTTAGGTCTGGCTTAGAGGAACACACACTCAGATCTCAAGTTTTTACTAACATATATCAATCATTGGGTTAACAATATTATATTGAATCATTTTGTGATCATATATGTTTATAGTAAAAAAATAATTCAAAAATTAGTTTTTCAAATTTACTTTTTAGTAAGTTAGATAATTTTGATAATAAAAAATATAACAAATTATGTTTTTTAAATATATTTTTTTGTGAAAATTGAAAATTAGTTTTTTCAATTTAGTTATAATAGTAATCAAGTAATTTAGTTATTCAAATTTATTCAAATTGAATATTAAGTCATGTTAAGTTTAAATATGTTTAAGTATTAAGTTCATGTCTATTATTATATCTAAATTTATTAGAATTGATTCGACTTAATTGATTGAAGATCTCCAATCATCTTTTAGTAATTTTTCATTAAAAAATACTGAGGTAAGATTGTTCAATTCTCATTCTTACCATTTTGAATTTAAAAATGGTTTCATCTTCTTATTCTTTTTGCATATGTTCTAGGCCATGCCATCTCCCACCACGGGAAGTTTTCCCATGCTTCAACCTCCAATGCTCACTTCCATTTCAAAAGATGAAGGAAACATGGATATTTCTACTTCCTCTGATGTTGCTTCCTCTTCCAAATTCAAGTCTCAAGCCGATTTTAATTCTAATTCTCTAAATCAGGTACCTTATATATATTTGAATTGTCATTGAAAAATCAAAGGATTATAATGTGATTCTACTCTTTATCATGCCTTAATTTATGAAGCTCTAGTGTCACCATGCAATGAGAAAATAGGAGATACACTGTTTGTAGTTGGTGTTGAATATTTTTACATCGAAGTTATTTGAATGGCATGACATATGGATAGTTTTTTATTTAACGACCATATAAAACATATTATTTTTTATATTTCTAAAACATGTTGAAATACAATCACAATATAAAATATTTTTATATCGATATTATCTTAATGATATGATACATTCATAATTTTTTATTGGACAACAATGTAAAATATATTTTTTTCTTTTTACTGTAAAAGAGTTATTATTATTATTATTGTATGTATGTTTGAATAACTATAACAAAAAATCATTTGAAAATATATATTTTAAAAAATGAATAATGAGATATGTATAACCTTTATATTGGAGATTTTTTTATTGAAATGCATACCTTGATATATAAGCTTTCTAAGTTTTTACTAAGTGATATTCTTCTAAGAATATATTTGTATTACCTTGAATTCAATAGGGTTCTAATAATTATCAAATGATGACTGGAGGGCATAAAGTGGATCAAATATTTGTTCAAGATCAAGCACCAATAGATTTTTCATTCTCTGAAGATTTTTCAAATAACTTTTTTATAAAAAATAGTGGATTTCCTTTATACAGTGATTTGAAAATGGTAGATATGATGGTTGATAACATTGATGTACCAATCTCTTATTCCGAAGAAGCTAGTGATGAAAGTAATCTTGTTGAAAATTCGATCCCTGTGGATGATATTGGACAACAACATGTCTTAGAAGTAGAACAAAAAGAAACATGTTATGCAATCGGAGCAAAGAACTCCGAGGATGGTTATAATTGGAGAAAATATGGACAGAAACAAGTAAAAGGAAGTGAGTTTCCAAGAAGCTACTATAAATGTACTCAACCGAGTTGTCAAGTCAAGAAAAAAGTTGAAAGATCACATGATGGCCAGATAACTGAAATCATTTACAAGGGTAGTCACAACCATGCCAAACCACATTCCAATCGCCTAGGATCAATACCTTCGAATGATGAGATTTTAGAAACTGCTGAAGCCAATGAAACATGTGATTCAGTATGGAGAAATAATCATTCGCGAGAAAAAGATGCAAACCATAACTTGGAGCGGAAGCTTGATGGTCAAGAAAGGACATCCCCGCCTTCTTTTACGACCGAGCTTTCAGATCCCGCCAAGAGAGCTATATCATCAGATGAAGCTAAAGAGAATTCTTCTGCATTTGTTAATCGTGATGGTAATAAAGATGGATCCACTCAAATAGTTTTACCAATTGAAGATGGTGCTGAAGATGGTGAATCAGAATCGAAAAGAAGGTATTGTACTTTACTTTATAGTGTCTTTATTTTGGCATTGGTAATACAAATAAAAATATATCTTATGTGTTGCTGCTTTAATTTTCTTTTGTAGGAAAAAGGAAAGCTATCCAACTGAACCAATGATGCCTGCGAGGGCTATTCGTGAGCCGCGAGTGGTGGTCCAAATCGAGAGTGAAATCGACATACTTGATGATGGTTATCGTTGGCGAAAGTATGGCCAAAAGGTTGTCAAAGGGAATCCAAACCCAAGGTAGAGTGATATTGCTTTTCCTTATTCACTTATAGGCCTATTAGTAGAAAATACTGTCATTATAGCAAAATTTGAACAAATCACTATTGTTGGGGATATGCTATTTGTTATAGCACTGCCGTGTAGCAAAGTTTGAACGAATCATGCATGTAAAATTCTCTCACCCATCTCTTGTAGGAGCTACTACAAATGCACAAGTGCTGGATGTAATGTAAGGAAACATGTGGAAAGAGCTTCACACAATTTAAAATTTGTTATCACTACTTATGAGGGAAAACATAACCATGAGGTTCCAACCGCTAAGAATAACCATCATATAAGTTCAAGTGATGTTGGTTTACATTCAAGTGGTGCTAATGCGTTACATGGGAGTGCCGGTATCATGAAGTCGGAAGCACATCAAACTCTTGCATCTCATTTTGATAGAAAACCCGATTTAAGCAATGAGTTTTTGCGGTCAAGTTTGATGGGAAGTTTCACTAATGATATGAAGTTTGGACCTTCTTCTATATCCCAAATGAAGTATTCTTCCTTGGATAATATCATACCTTATGGATGCTCCTATGGAATGAATCTCGAATGTGGTATTGCGCCTCAAGTTGGGCATATTCCTCCAATGTTCCCAGAATATCCAATGCCATTACCATTGAATCTTGCTTCATCTGGAAATTTTTCTCTTGATGGAATTAATTTCAACTATGCAAAACCAATGAATTATGTTCAGTCTTACCTTTCAAATCAGCAGATGAAGGACTTTGATACAGGACTTCTAAGGCCTAAAGAGGAGTTGAATGATGATTCTTTATATACTTCATGTCCAACCTCTTTTGATCATGCAAGTTCCTCACTGAATCCACCATCAACATCACCACCACAATCCATTTATCAAAGTGTCATGCAGAATTTCCCTTCATAATATGTTTTTTACATCAGTTAGAAAAAACATGGTCTGTTGATTTTTTTTAGTTTTGGAAGATCTATTGTCATGTCATTTATTATTTCAATTTTTCAAATACTTGTTGTAACAAAATAGTGTTATTATACAAAATTTATAACATTGTGTATCTACTTCTTGGTAGGTAACTTTATTTTGTCCTATCATTCTTGTTGTTTCACAATTTTTTTTTTGTATTTTTTGAAACAATCAAATATAGGATGGTATTCTTTTCATACCAATGTTTATTACTAGCTATTAGTAGGTGGTTTTGCTCCCTTGTCAATGGCATCGACTACCCCGTATTTGGTGTCGGATAGGTCTCTTCTATATTTATCTTATAGAGGACCTCCTTTTGGACTGACTCTCTCAACGTTTTGATTTCATTTTTCGCTTGGTCGAAGGCCTCGTCAAGTTTTTCAGAGGACTCTTTGAACGTTTTTATTTCCCCGTCCTTTGTTTTTTTGCGTATTTTCCAACTTGCTCGTATACTATTGCGTCTCATCAAACACCTCAATGGTAGACTTCAGCGACATCTAAGTCTGAATGAGTGTCTCCTTCATGGTGTTCAGCCTGGTCTTGAGATCTGCAACATTTGTATTCGATTAGCTATAAGTGTAACACCCCTTCTAAATACCCCAATTAAAGGTAAAGATTAAAATCAGAGAAATAAAATTGCACGGAAGGGATGCCACAACACACATCACATTCCAAAGTTTTTAAAGAAAAACGGACAGGGTATGTTTGAAAGTATAAGCATTCCAACACAAAACAAACATACAATAAATATTTACTTCATTCTCTCGTGCAAACGCAACGGAGTTTCATAATTTCACATCATCTCCATTTATGGAGGAATCAAAACATAATTCAAGGCATCAAGCCATCATAATTCACATAAGCATATGTTATCAAGTCTCACATATACAAAACATCATATACACGAATAAGGATTATATACATCATAATCCAAATACAAAATAATCGAGTTCGACACTAAATAAATCCCCCCCCCCCCCCCCCCCCCCCCCATGTGTTACTACCAGAGCATCGACTCGACTCTAATCAAAATAAAACAGATTGCAATCCAATGCATCCGTTAACTAGCGCCTCGCGCTACCGTCCTCGGTACCTGAACAATGCCATCAAAAGCATTTTCAAACAGAAGAGTAAGAATTCCAATAATCATATAACATGTAATTAAGGTAAAGCAATGGCAATAAATAAAGGAATACATCATGATCATATTCATTTTATCTCATATAGTATCCGTACTCAAGGAAGTCATTTCCAACACATTAACCATATAAACCAATTATCCGAATACTCACATCATTGGCACATAACCATTATTCAAACAACAACAATATTGGCACATAACCAAACATATCAACACACATACACAATATACACAATTATGCATGTGACTCACAACACGACTCAACATATGCGAATGCGGTACCGACTTGTGGACCCAAAGTTCCACCGCTTATTTTTCCACATAGGATCAAAGCCACTACGTCTATTTCCACCATAGGATCAACGTCTATTTTTGTGAACCCATGTTTCACCGCCTATGTTCCCTTTCCGGGTCAAAGCCACTACGTCTATTTCCATTCAAGGATCAATGTCTATAAAATATGGACCCACTGTTTCACCGTCTCTATTTCAAGACCAACCATGCCATGCAATGTACAACCAACAACTCGTATGCAATTAAGACCACTTCCGACCTTAACATACACATACCACATATTCCAACACAATGAAATACCAACAATTGTACATGTATTGTAAATATAATTCACAAATCAAGTAATGTACAAGTTTAAACAATGTTACTTCCATGATTTATTCAAATCAGACACAATTCCGGTTAGCCCTTGAAAACGTTGAAATCTCAAAAAAATAGCTCTACCATAATTACCTACGCATTTAACTTAGTTACCCCGTCAAATTTCATTAATTTTCGGATAACTAATTTTTACCGCCTATACCAGCAAATTAGAAACAAACACAATTTCATAAACCGGAAGCATTCGACTTCACCTGTAAAATTCACATTTTTCAACAAAAATGCCACCCAACAGATCAACCAAAATTACTACCATAAACCGCATAATAATTCAGACTATTTGGGCTAAAATCGGTTAATTAATTATCGGACAAAAATTCTATTATTTCTATTTTTTTTTTTAAATCCTACAAAATTATTTATTAAAGATATTAAATCATTACTATTATTATTATTGTTATTATTATTATTATTTAGCATAATATATTATTATACTAAAAGAAGTATTACTTAACTAGCATAAGACTCAGTAATGTTACTAAAACTCTCTTCTCCAATTCCTGCTAAAGTATATACCAAATGTTGTATTACCAAATGCTATACTACATTATAAAGCATTACTATGCTGCAATACAAGTGTCTTAGTTATTAAATACTACTCCACATATTACCGCTATGGTAACGCCAAAGCTTGCAGTTTCTTCTATACACTACTTCTTTTTTTATACTATTTTATTCACAAAACATATGACTATTATGTATATTAATTCTAAGATTCCGCTACAGTAATGAAACTACTCCCTCCAATTACTACATTACTTATCGCTACTGTATTTGCAAGCCAAGCCTTTTATTACTACTTTATCTTGTATTGCTACAACAAGCCATTAATACTCCATGTGACTTTAACTACTAATTCTCTTCAACACTACAGTTCAAGCAATTTACAGGCGCTACGGTAATGCTACGGTAAGCGAGTACTTACTTCTAAATATTACCATACTTTGCGCTACAGTATTAAAAATATGGAATTTTGCAAAGAAAATACTAAACTAATATCAATTCTAACACATATAACACCAATCTAAACCAACAAAATCATCAATTTCATCATCTCTTTCCCAATCTATACAACTCTCTAAAATCCTAATTTCTTCATCTATCAAAATCAAAACCCAAAACCACAAGTATATGAGCAAAGCAATTCAAACCCTTACCTTGGTGTGGGTTTTCTTGAAACAAGATGATGATGATGTTGCAACTCCAAACCTAGCTTCCTTTCTTCTCTTCTCCTCTTTCTCTCTTCTTTTCTTTCTTCTTTCTATTTCTATTCTTACCAACTATCCTACTTTCTATCTTATAAAATAAATTTTACTACTACTTACTTTCCTCCCCCTAACTTTCTAAAATTCTAACTTGGCCCAATCTATTTAATTCAAATTATATCATATAATTCTATTAAAACCATATTACATTAATTAATATTTATTCTATATAAACCTAATCATGCCAATTAATCAAACAAAGTCAAATATTACTACACACCAAATTAATATTATTCAAAATAATATTTCGACATAATAAATATTTTTATTTCATATTACCCAATTAATATTTCAATCGATCTCAATTGAATATATTTCTCAAAATAGATATAATTTAATATTTTTGGAAAATAATTAATGAAATAACATTTAAATATAAACGGCGTGTTACAACTCTCCCCCACTTAAAAGATTTTCGGCCTCGAAAATTACCTCTAAACGAACAATTCGGGATAGGAATCCCGCATCCGACTTTCAAGCTCCCACGTCACATTACCATTCGCCGAACCACCCCATGCAACTTTAACCAAAGCAATCTCTCTTCCTCTTAGTTGTTTCACCTTTCTATCTTCAATCCTCACCGGTAAAACCTCAACCGTCAAATTGTCTCTTACTTCCAAATCATCCGCTTGAATAACATGAGACGGATCCGCAATATACTTTCGTAATTGCGAAACGTGAAACACATCATGCAAATTTGAAAGTGATGGTGGCAATGCAATCCGATAAGCCATACTTCCAATCCGCTCTGAAATCTGATAAGGACCAATAAACCGAGGCGTTAACTTCCGCGATTTAAGCGCCCTTCCAACACCCGTAGTTGGATTCACCTTCAAAAACACATGTTCATCCTTCTTGAACTCAAGAGGTTTCCTCCTCTGGTCATAGTAACTCTTTTGGCGATTTTGAGACACTATCATCTTCTCTCTTATCAATTTGATCTTATCCGTAGCCTCTTGAACCAATTCCGGACCAACTATAGCACTTTCCCCCGTCTCGTACCAACACAAAGGTGTCCTACACCGTCTTCCATACAATGCCTCAAAAGGAGCCATGCCAATGCTAGAATGAAAACTATTATTATAAGTAAACTCAATCAAAGGCAAATGACTCTCCCATGAACCTCCTTGATCCAAAACACAAGCACGCAACAAATCCTCAAGTGACTGAATTGTTCTCTCCGTTTGACCATCCGTCTGAGGATGATAAGCGGAACTCAATCTCAGCTTAGTACCCAAGGCTCTTTGTAAACTTTCCCAAAATCTTGAAGTGAAACGCGGATCTCTATCTGAAACAATACATGTAGGAATACCATGTAAACAAACAATCCGTTCCACATACAACTTAGCAAGCTTCTCCGTAGTGTAATCCATCCTAATCGGAATAAAGTGTGCAGATTTAGTCAATCTATCCACTATGACCCAAATAGCCTCATGGTTACTCGGAGTCCTCGGCAAACCAGAAACAAAATCCATCGAGATACTATCCCACTTCCACTCGGGAATAGACAACGGTTGCAACAAACCCGAAGGCTTCTGATGTTCAATCTTAGACTTTTGGCAAACCAAACAAGCATACACAAACTCAGCAATTTCTTTCTTCATACAAGGCCACCAAAACAGCTTCTTTAAATCTTGATACATCTTCTTAGCACCAGGGTGAATACTTAACCTACTTCTATGACCTTCCTCAAGAATCCTCTTTTTCACATCCCCCACATCGGGAACGCAAACTCTATCATGACATCTCAAAATTCCATTCTCATCAATTCTGAACTCTCCACCTTGACCTTGATTCACCAAAGTAAACTTGTCAACCAAAACCAAATCTGACTTTTGCCCATCCCTAATCTCTTCCAAGAC